GCCGCCGAACCAAGTTTGTATCTCAACCCACTCCTATGGGTGCTGCCGCTACCCAATCCGACAACCACAACCTTCCTAATTAGACCATTACCTACTTTTTGCCCTTGTATAGGTTCACAACAACCCTGGTACTCACAATTAGTCCGTCTTCTTACCCGGATTCTTTATTGATTCCTCCCTTACTTCCAGCCGGCAACCCGGAAGGGTCGATCTGCCCAGGCTTTAGGTACCTGAAGGACGCTCACCCCTTGGTACATACTTTCGAAGCATATGTCCTTTTCCTCCGGTGCGACAGAACCCGGCAGTTCGGCTGATATGTCCTCCGCCATTAGGACCTGGTCGTTCGGTTCTCCGATCTCGGGCCCGGTTCGAATTCAGCCTTCTTGTGATACCATCGACGATCACTGCTACTTCCTAACTCGGAACTTCCCAAATGGGTTTTCGGTTATGCCGGTTTCTCAGCTTTATTGCGCCATTGCTCCCATTACTAGATGGTGTAACTGAAGTTACAGATTTATCTAAAATCCAACCGATAATTATAACTGTCAACCGTAATGTAAACCTATTTTTTAAAATTCATCGTCTGTGGGATTCGAACTCTGGACCTGCCACTTGGAGAGGGTGACGACTAGACCACTACACTAAGTCGCCACACCTCTTTTTATCTTGTATTTTATATTAGATAGTTATTATTTATTATATTATATTAATATTAGTATTTAAAAGAGAGTTAAAGCCACTGTGGCACAAAATGTAGCTAAAGTTATACACGGCCCTCAAGTCCCTTAACTATACCTTCAAGTCCCTCAACACGGCCTCCAACTCTCTCAACTCTCTTTACTCCCTCAACACGATCTTCAACTCCCTCAACATGGCCTCCTACTCCCTCAAGCATGTCCCTCAACTCCCTCAAGTACAATGTTACATTTCCTTCAATTCCCTCTTCTATTTTGTAAAAGGTATATAAAGAAAGCATAAATCTCTTCTTGTAAAAACAGATTTTATACTGATATCTATAGCTCTTAGATAGATCTCAATTACTCTCTCTCATAGAATTAGTCTTGTAATTCTCTCTTGTAATGTATAACTCTCTTTAGGATCTCTAAAGGAGGTTATCCCTTGTTCTACAATTAATAAAGTTTTGAAATACACTATCCTAATACCGAACTGTTTACCTTCTGCTGTGGATACTTAATTGTACTCCACATCCACACTGTATATATTCTAGTAGCAGAATTCCTGCACCGGGTAACCTTGTTACTGTGCTATATGGTTACAAAGAAGGCCATAGCATTGTAACACTATTTATATCATGAATTTTTTTTTATTAACTTTATATTTTTTCTGAACATATAAGCCTTTAGTAAATCCCTTACCAATACCATTAATTAAAAATATCAGTACATCTGTGAACAAGCCTTTTCGGCAACCATTTTTAACAAAAGAACTTGCATTGCATAATAATACAACTAAACCTATAGTTACTCTTGGTGGTTGCTGATTTATCCGTAAAATCAAAAATCTCAAGGTACTGTATATTATACTTTAATAATTATTAATAAATTTTTATTAATGCTTTATTTATTTGTTTGGTATATTTTCAAGATCAAGAACCTGAAGAAAGTGATAATACTGGTACAATTATAAAAAACTATTATATAAACACTGAGCATATCACTTTTAATTAAATAAAAATAATAGTTCGCATATGTTATGTAATTAGAATTTTTAGCTAGTTATATAATTACAAATATTGTAAGCTAAAAGTCTTAAATTTATATTGCATTTATATTATATAATTTTAAAGTTTTTTTATTTTTTAATGTTTTGTTATTATAGTTCTGATCCTATTTAAAAAATATTACTTTTACTAGAATTTTTTAAAAAAATACCTTCGCTATAATAGTACAGTTAATAAAAAATAGATCGCACTGCTCAATAAAAAAAATAAACTATCATAGACTATAGATCGCTGCCCAATAATTTTATTATTGAGTAATCTGATCATAGTAAAATACTAGATAATGCTAATTATTGATTTTATTTTCCCACCAAATCATTTTTCTGCCACAACATGCCAACATGCTATTTCATCTACAGTACATTTTTTTGATAAAACATTTATTCGCTATTAGGCCATGCAAAATTAAATTTTCATTTTGCATTACTCACCGTCCCATTTTTTCAATTTTTTTAATTTTTTTTTTTTTTTTTAATTTCCAATTGCTCCAATTAGGGTGCTGATATTTATTACCTAATATTCATTTACTATAGAGGCTTACCCCTACCCTCAAATAAGATATTTAGCTAAATTTAATTGGCTATAATTATTTTATATGAGGTAAGGTTTTGCTTGACCCCCACCCCCTAAAATATTACCTAATAAATGTCAGCGCCCTTATTCTATTTTTGCTATTTAATTTTTCTACAAATTATTCCAGTCAGGGATTTTCCACAATATGGAAATGATCTGCAAATATATTAGAAGAGTATTCTAAAATCGATTTTCAATTAAAAAAACAAAAGTATTTTTTATTTTCTGAAAATAACTATCAGTTTTAAAAAAATTTTCAAAATTTTTTTATAAAAAGTTTCTTAAGACTATGTAGTTTAGGAATCCGTGTGGATCCCAGAGGCTTTATAAGGCCGTTATGTGGTAAATAACAAAAGTGTAACAACGTAGTCAATAATTTGGCCAAAATTTGGTCAAAATTTGTACTACAAAATTGCAGATCTTTACCAAAAAACGAAATGATCTGCGTTACACAACTTTGAAAAATCCCTGACTGTATTCCGGTATCATCCGATGGAGACATTAGTTTTCCGAAATTGTCCGACGAAAAATCCGACTGCCAACACCCGAATTTCTGATTCCATGTTATTCAAAGCGTAAAACCAACTTTGTGTGGCCTTATATGCAACATAAGACCATTAATTTATAACAGATTAAAAAAAAAAAAAAATCTGTCCGTCCGTCCCGAATTTTGAAATCCATGTAATGCAAAACGAAAAATCAACTTTGCGTGGCCTTACATGTCCTTTCCTTGGACAAAACATTTCCCCGACAATTATTTCTTCGACATATAATTCTAATCAACACTAACTCCAAATCAGGCCAACCCTGATGCTAAATCGGGCCAATTTTATGTCGAGGAAATAATTGTCGGGGAAATATCCTGTCTAAGAAAAAGATTGTTGAAAACATATAATGTCGAATATATATATCCTATCGAAAATAACGTGCAGTAGATGAAATTGCATGTCGGCATTAAGGTGTCGGGGAAATGATTTTGCCTTTCTCAATTTCTCGAAAGTTGCTTAATGGAAGGTTCAACTCTTCAGAAGTAATTGTTGGCTGTTTGATGAATCTTCGCCAGGCATAGTTTTTGAATATTGAGAATCCAAAGTAAATTAGAATACTTCTTGATCATCCTGACCCATGGTAGATTTTTTGATGGGTCAAGAAACAATTATTACGTTCTTGATGGCGTAAGCCAAAAAAAAAGATTTACATACGTACATACCTTTCCTAATAGGTTCTAAAAAAAGAACCTCGCACTAACTATAGCGGCTTTTTTTAGATCCCATAATTCTCCCCTATTCTGTCGATCCATCAAAAATAATATTTTTTTACTATTAATAGCGGTTAGTAAATAAGGTCTCGATCATCATCGTTTGTCCTCTCACAAAAATTGTTCATCCCCTGAATAAGAGACATATAATTTGGTGTGACATTTAAGAATGTTACACAAAAAAATTAATCTATAATGTTGTTTTCCTAAAATTCACATCCTCTATAGCACACCCTAACCCTAACAATTACTGATCTTGATTTTGATTGGTCAAAATCACAATTTTTTATAGGAACGCTATCTAAAATAACCAACCTATCGCTATATTTTCTAAAAAAAAATTCTCCATATAGATATGTAAAAATCATCTAAAAATGTCCGTTCCCGTATGAATGAAAGTTTTACACTAAATAAACAAATGCTGGTATATAAATATGCGCGAATGATCTAATCACCGAACAAAGAAGGCATGGTTGGTAATTATTCTTTATTTCCAAAACTGTTTAATGCATTCTTCTTTTACATATAAATTGCAATTATAAAATATTGATCAAACGATAAAAAAAATCAGGCACTACATAGTGATATTGCATATCCAAATTCGTTTACATTCTATAGAATTAAAATAGAAAATATTTTTCGATTTAGTTTTATTTTTGCATAAAAGACGTAATTCGTGACAAAATAAAAAATCATATGATCATATCACACGAACAATATCATAAATGCAATTTCAATGATTTGAAACAAATATAGATAATTCCTTATTAACTTTATTGATCAATAGGCATTTAACCGCATGGCATTTACTTGCATGCAATTTTTCAAGGAGTAGGGATCCGATGATCCGATCTTGATCCGAGATCTACAATTGCAATAATAATAATTCAATAATTCTAATTCTGGTTAGATCGGACCATTAATCCTTGACCTAATTTAACATCTCTATCAAGGAGTCTTAAGAAACTTGAAGTATCTAAACACTCCAACAATATTGTATATCCATAGCAATTAAATGATATGAGCCGTAAATTACAGATTGTCATATAGACTTTTATTAAATGCAAAATTTTAACTAATCAATTTACATTGCTAGGTACAAAGGTGTTTAATTCTTCATATACTGTACATCAAGTCAAATCATATCAGTATTACCAAATCCTGTCATGTTATTAGTAGTTGTTGCTATAAGAAAATAATAATAATAATAATAAAATAAATTAATAAAGATTATTAGTCAATTAATATAAATATTGATGAAAAAAATAATACTAACCTAATACTAACCTTAGGATTTTTGTTACCAGAAGTTGGCACTTTACTTGGCATAAAATAAGTTATAGCCCATACTTCAAAGATAAATGCAAATATAAAGGGTTAATGAAGATTTATACAAATTTAGATTTAGAATTTAAATATTTAGAAATGCTACATACAAGTAAATATTATTCCAGCAACAATACTAAAACAGAGGCAAATGATTAAACCCTTTGGTTTATATCCATTTTTATTTGAATCAGGTAATGGACTCGCCGCTTTCACGCGAGGAGAACCAGAAGATTTAGGATCCTTATTGGCATTATTTTGCAATTGATGATGATAATGAGGATCAAGTTGCTGGGGAAAAGAAACAGGTCGAGTGGTAAAATTGAAATTTTTAGGTCTATATTGATAATTTAATAAGGGGTCATCTGGGTCACCATGAGCAGCTCTTATTTCCGTTTGTAAAATTGAATTACTGTTACCAGTGCTACTCCTTAAAAACGAAGTGGATATGTCACTCTTTCCAAATTCTTGCCTAAGAGGAGTATCACTCGTTTGTATTTGAGCAGTGTAACTTGATCGTATTCGTGGTGTATTTTCAATTGTCGGATTTTTAATTCTCGATCTGTTCCTT